CATGAAACAAAAATATCAAAAGTTAAAACCATATTAAAGAAAAATAATTAAAACAACACAAGTCCAATACATAAATATTAATTATTTTAATTAAAAGATAAAAACAACATTCAAAGTCAAATGTTTAGAAAAGAAAAAAATGTGAGTATTTTATAACTAGGTTTTAAAATTTATTAATAATAACAAATACTCCCTCCGTTCCTAAAAGATACATGTTTTGGTGTTTTTACACATATTAAGAAAAACAATTAATGACCTCTAACAAATGTATTGATTTTTGAAATAAAAGGTTTTCAAAAAGTTTTATCCAATATTATTTGAATATTTTTCTTAAAAATTATATTTTCTTATCAATAAAAATGACAAAAATGCATATAAAACATAAATTTACATAATTTGTTTCTAAATCAAAGTGGAAACGACGTTTCCATCGCGTTTTCCAAAATGAAACGACGATTCCTTCGTGTTTCCAAATTAAGAATTTTAAAAAACACGTTTTCGTCGCGTTTTTCGCTTTTCCATTGCGTTTCTGTTTCCGAAATATTTCTAAAACGGAAAACGGACCTTGGTCGAAGTTTCCATGCAACCTAGTTTTTTACATAGTGTAAAATATTAGGTTACAAATCCGCATATTGCGGATACTAAATCTAGTTGGATTTAAATTCTTAAGTCGTAGTAATATTTTTTTTATCAAAAATCGTAGTAAATTTTAAAAGTATGTATTTCTGTAATGCTTATCAGGTCTTAATTAATTTTCAAAAATTAAAAAATAAAACAAACATACAGCCAAGAAATGGTTTTCTAACAAAAAAAAAACTAAAATTAGAAAAAACTTAGTTAAGTAGGTAAAATAGTTGTCAGATTCCCTAAAATATATCTATAAATTTTGGCTATTCATTTCTAATCTTTCAAGCCATTTAAAAAAAAAAATTATAATATTTATCAAAACATTAAGAGATTATAGAATGGAGAAACAACAAAGGTGGCCTGCCATTGTTTATGTTTTTCTGTTCTTGTTATTGGCATTACAAATCCATTGTACAAGCCAAACACATTTTCCAAATCGCATGTACAAGTCAAAGCGAGATATTGGTTCGGCAAGTGACACAAGCCACTTCAATGCGAATCGTCGCATAAGTATGCCTTTGCTCCMAACTTCAATAAGTGGTGTCAACCAACAAGAGCTAAAGGAGAAAGATCTAATCAAGAATCTACCCGGACAACCTCCCGTTAGCTTCAAACAATACGGTGGTTATGTGGCTATAAA